GCAGCACCTACTACCCAGGGTTGTTGTGAGAATCAAATGAGACATCTGTAAAGCACATACAGTGCCTGCCACAGTGGGTGCTATATAAATGCTGGCTAGATTTTTCAATGGACATTCTTTTGATGCCAATAAATGACAATCCCTCAACACCGTGGAGATGAACTCTTCCTTTAGTAAAAAGCCTTTTCCTGTTCTCCTTATAGCTAGTGCCTTCCCACAGAGACCATCTCCAGCTGGTTCTGTCAATAGCATGTTTGTACCTAATGTCTCCCGAGTTAGACCGGGAGCTCCTTGGGGGCAGGGAATGTTTTTGCCTTTCTTTTCAGCCCCAGCACTTAACAGAGTGCTCGGCACACAGTAGGTACTTAACAAGTGCTTTTTTACTTTGCCCCCTGGTAGAAAAGAAAAATGGTAAAAGGCACAGCACCCTCAAAGGTCTCTTCCGGTTTTAAATCAATGATCCTATGAACAGAACATCCTACTTCTGAGACTTAGGAAGTCAGGAAACTTTCAAAGTTGAATGCTTTTTTTCATTAACATAAAGTGAATTTATGAAACATCTGACTTTCCTCTGTTGATACTGAAAAACCCGTCCAGGAATAACAGGTCAAGTTTATATTGAGCTCGACTTCTTACAAAGCCCCTTTCCCACAACCCTTTGTGATAGAGCAAGAATGATTATCCTCATTTCTCTGGATGGGAAAACTGAGGAACTGAGACATTACTTTCTACCCAGTGAACTCTAGTCAGCTGTAAAGTCAGAAGACCCGAGTTCAAATCCTACCTCTGATGCTTACTACCTGGGTGACCTTGGGCAAGTCACTTAACCTCCCTGGGCCTCAGTTTCCTCATCGGTAAAATTAAGAAACTGGACTTGATGGACTCCAAGGTTACTTCCAACTCTAGATTTGTGGTCTTACAGATCACTTAACTTCTCTGGGTCTGTTTCCTCATCTGTAAAATGGGGATGGGAGTTGGACGACGTAGCCTCTGAGGTCCCAGCTCGAGAGATATGACACCTACAGTAAGACAGCCAGGACACACTCTCCAGGCTCCTGCCTCCCAGCCCTGCATACCTCGTTCTGTAGCACAGCCTCCACCTGAAGCCCGACAGCCAGGGAACGGCGGAACGAGTCGTGGGGTGTGTGTGATGGAATATGGTTGTGCCGTAAGAAACGACGAGCAGGATGGCTTCGGGAAAGCCCGGGACGACTTGGAAGAACTGATGCAAAGCGAGGCAAACAGAAACAGAGAACACTGTACACTGACGGTAGTAGTGCAAGGAGGACCAAGTATGCAAGACTCAGCTGCTCTGACCAAGACCACGCCCCAAGATAACTTCATCGGACCCAGGAAGAGTGAGAACTGATAAGCTAAGGGCAGACTGAACCGTATTTTTCTTGGTTTTTTTTCTGTTTTCTTTTGTAAAATGGCTAATATAGAAATACGTTTTGCATGATTCAGATTGCTTGCCTTCTCAAAAGGTGGGGGAGGGAGAGAATTTGAAACTCAAATTTTTTTTCAAATGAATGTTAAAAAATTTTAATGTAATTGAGAAATATTTAATGAAAATAAAAATATATTTAAGAAAGGAAGTGGAGGGAAGGAAAGGGGAGGAACATAGGAAGGAGAGAGGGAGGGAAGGAGAGAGGGAGGGAAGGAGGGAGGGAGGGAAGAAGAGAAGGAGAGAGGGAGGGAAGGAAGGAGGGAGGGAGGGAAGGAAGGAGGGAGGGAGGGAAAGAAAGAGGGAAGGAAGGACAGAAAGAAAGAAAGTAGGTCTTCCCCTGGAAAGTGCTCACTGAACGGCTTCACAACACATGAGAGGTCAGGTGGCCCAGGGTAGAGGGGGTGGGAAAATCAGAGCAGGCACCTGGGCTTCCAAAGAGTTGGCAGAAACGTGGAAAAAAAAAAAACCAAAAAGAGGCTTTCTACTTAAAGGGCATGCCCCTGAATGAGCTCAAAGTGACCTTCACAGGGACTGAGCTTTAAAAATAGCCCCCAGGGAATGTAAAGGAGGACAAGGAGCAGCCACCCACCTAGACAGGCAAGCCTCAAAGTGTGCACATATTCAGAGACCAAGGCGGGGTGGCCGGGGGGAATGTATTTGTATTCTCTTTCAGAAAACACACTGCACTCACAGGACCTGGAGCAAGAGCTCAGCTGTGTGACCTGAGGCAAACCACTTTCCCTATAAAATGAAGGCACTGCACTCAGTGACCTCCGAGTTCCCTTCCCGCCAGACCTCAGGTTCATTGTCTGAAAACCAGGGTGTTGGACAGGCCCCATGGCAAGAGTACCGACTCTAAAGTGTCAGGACCTGGGTTCAAAGCATACCTCTAATGCTTATCACCTGTGTGACCCTGGTCAGGTCACTGAAACCCCCTGGGCTGTTGTTTCCTTCTATGTAAAAGGAAATTGGTCCCCCCTGGATTGAAATTTATGATTCTCTGAAAAGAACAGCATCGGTCTTTAATAGCATTGAGCTTGAAGGTTTGCAAGGCACTTTACAGGCATTATTTGGTTCAGTCCTGACAACAACCCTGTGGAAGGGAATGCTGCTATTATCTCCATTTTACAGTGAGGAAACTGAGGTTCCAAGAGTTTCAGTGACTTGCTTTCTCATAGTCAGGAGGGAGGATGTGAAACCAGTTCTTTTCCAAAACCATTTCCTCCTACCTCTGCGGCCATCACTCTCATCGCTCTGTGCCACCACCACCGCAGTCACTATCGTTGTCAAAGTTGCATTTCTGTAGCACTTCAGGGCTTGCAAAGCACTTCACAAATATCCTCTTATTTGCTCCTCACAACCACCCTGGGAAACACGTGCTTTTATTATCCCCATTTTTATGGAGGAGGAAACTGAGGCAGACAGAGACCAAATTACTTCCCCAGAGTCACACAGCCAGTTAGTGTCCGAAGCCTCATTTGACCTCGGCTCTTCCCTCGTGCAGGCCTCAATGTCTGTTTTATCACTTTCGTGGGCTTGTTTCCTCATCTGTCACATTAGGGGGTGAGCCTGTCGGAGGATCTTAACCTGGGTCCTCGAACTTTATTTTGAAAATATTTTAAGAACTGTGTTTCTAGGTACCTGATTCCCTTTGTAATCCTATGCACTTTATTTCATGCATTTAAAAACATGATTCAGAGAAGAGGTCGCTAGGATTCACCAACTAATTGTCAAAGGGACACACAATACAAAAAAAAAAAAAAAGATTCCCTGAAACAGAAGATTGGTAGGGTCAGTTCCAACAATAAATGAATGGATGGATGGATGATTATTTATTAAGCTCTAAAAGCCCAACTCGGCCCAACAGGGGACACATGCAAGATAAAGCAGTCCCTGCCTTCCAGAAGTTTACATATTGATAGGACTCTAAAGTTACAACCCTGCTTATCTACCTTCAATGCTTTTACAAATGAAACTAGATGGAATACACGACAGAAACAATTCTCTGTCCTTCAGCAGTCGGCTCTGGAATACTGCACTAGGAAACACTTTCTGCCCAGCGAGGAGCTGATGTTTAGCCTCAAACAAAGCTATCCTTGCTGCTGGGGAAGGGGGGGAGGGGAAGGGAGCACCTATCTACTCAAGAGAAAAGAGGATGGAGTGAAGGGGTGGGAAAGAAGGCCCCTTTGCAAAATGACTTAAACCTCTCATGGTGGATAATAGGAGGGTGCAGCTTCTCATTTGAATTAGCGCCTTTGTTTGGATTCTTTTGCCCCAGGCCACAGCATGGTGGATTTGCCACAGAAGCCTGCCAGCCTGAGCGCAGGCATACAAGGCAAAGAGCCCAGACCTGGGAGCCCGGACTGCTGGCTCCCTCTTCCACTGAGCGCTTAGGTAATGTCGGACGAGTAAGTCACTTTGGCTCAGTTCAGCCCACACTTATTAATAATGATGAAGTAACTCAAGGAACAGCACTCCAAGCAAAGAGACAGCAAACAGACATATCTATGCCCAAGATCCTGCCAGCCCAATGAGCGCGACCTTAGGGGTCTCCAAAGTGGTACTTCTGAAATCTCCTTTTATGTTTTGCAGAAAAACAGATTATCTCACTCCCAACTTCCCAACCTGATTCTGAAATCCAAGAATACGGGTTCTAATTCTACTTTGGTCACTCACTCCCTCTATGAGCATAGCTCAGAGGAGGAGGTTCGGGTTTTGGAGTCAAGAACTAGTGTCGAACCTTGGCTCTCTTATTTACTACCTGTGTGACTTTGGACGAGTCACTTGTGCCTAAATTTCTTTGTCAAGCTTGGACTAGATGACCTCTCTGAGCCTCAACTTCCTTATCTGTAAAATAAAGGAGTTGGATTAAATGGCCTATGAGGTCCCACTGAGGTCTACCTTTAGCATCCAATGACTATCTCTGGACCTCAGTTTTGTCTTCAGTACAATGGGGAGACTGGAATCCAATCTAGTCACCAGGTGGTCTCTAAAGCCCCTTCCAGCTCTACGTCTATGGGCCTATGTCACAAGGGCCTCTTACCTCACCTGGAAAATAACAGGGTGGATGAGATGGCCCCAAAGGTCCCACTGAGGTCTGTCTACATTTATGATCCTGTCATTCTGTCATTTCCCCTCTCGGAGGCACTAGATGGTCTCTAGGGCCCATCTTTCATCTAGGACCCCATCACCCTGAGGCTCCCCGGAACTGGGCAGGCTAGGACTGAATACGCCCCCCCTCCCAACACAGCCAAGCCCAGCTTGGTGCCCAGGCCAGGGAGGAGGTCGAATTCAGCCTGTTCTCCAACACCGGACAGAGGGCGCAGGCAGCGGAACCAATGAGAGGCTCTGCGTTGGCCTAGCATTCCCACTTTCTGGGAATATCCCAGATTGAACAGATGTTCAGCATTTCCAAGGTAGCCAGCCCATCAAAGATGGGAAAACAATCAAGGGTCAGGAGGAGGTGGAGCTTCTCCCTTCCCCCCAACTCCACCACCCACGAAGCAGGAAAGGCTCTGGGCCGAGCCTCTAACCTGCAGTCTCCCTGGCTCACCGAAGACTCCAACGGCTTTCCGCGCAAAACAACGGTTTTCTTTACTGATTTTTTCCTGCCGTTTCGTTTTGTTCTTTCCGGCCGGCTGAGCCGGGCCGGGGACCGGAGCCCGGACCACGCAAATGTGATCTGGATCTCTTCTTTTTGGCGCCTTGCCCGCTCAAAGCCGCATCCTCGGCTCCGTGGCCTCCTCGTTTCAAACAAAGGCTCCGGGACTGCACGAGACCAGAACCCAACGCGAGCGGGCGCGCGGAGAACCCCTGGGGCACCGCGGAGGGCCGGGGGGGGGGGGGGGGGGGGGGCGGTGCTGTTGTCGGCGCGGGCACGCGGGGCCGGGGTGTTTCCTGGGTGGGGTGCACGCCTGTCTGCGCCCCGGGAACGGTGCACACGTGCGTTTGTTGTGGTGGAGTGAGCACGCATGCATGCGCCCGGGGGCCACCCAGGTCTCTGTCCTCTGTGACTGCGGACCCCCGCGGGGTAAGCCGAGTCAAGGAGCACCGGGGAAGCTTTCCGCGCGTCGGGCATTGTGCTAAGTGCCCGGTAAGGGGTGGCTCTGGCCTCCGAGTCCAGCCGTGACAAGGCCGAGCCCAGGTTCAGGCCGCCCCGCCGCGCCCCCCACCCCGGGCCGGGGCGCGGGGCGCGGGGCGCGGGGCGGGACGGGGCGGGGCGCGGAGGGGCGCGGAGGGGCTGGGCTCCCCGGGATACTCACTCTAAGCCGATCCAGACGGGGCCGGCTCCGGCGGCTCCTCCGAGGCCCCCCCGCGGCCCCTCGGCTCGGGCCCGGGCCCGCGGCCGGCTCCGCTCCAAGGCTGGGGCCCGGGAGCTTCCCTTTGTTAGGGGCCGGCTCGGGAGCCAGCCCGAGGTGCCGGGGCCCGGCGCAGGCCGGCCCTTCCCCCCGCCCCCATCCCCATCCCCACCCACCCCGCGCCGCTGGATACAAGGGGCGAGGACGGAGGGCCAGGAGAGCTCGGGAGCGCAGCAGGGCAGAGACCCAGCGAGAGACAGAGACAAAGAGAGACGGGGGGAGGGGCGAGAGGCGGGCGGGGAGGAGAGCGCCCCCTCCGTTATGCAAATGCGGCCGAGGGAGGGCCGGGCACCGGCGCCCAGCTCCGCACCCTCCCCTCGGCGTCGGCTCCGCGGGGTCCTGGAGGGCAGCTGCCCGAAGCTGGGGGCCGGGGGGCGCATTCCGCTCCACCCCCACTCCGCCCCTCCCCAGCCCCGGAATCCCCCGGGCCGCATCCCCACCTTCACATGATGCCGGCGGGAGCCCCCCGAAAGAGGCGCTGCCCACCTGCCCCACTACCCACCCAAGGAGCGCGGGCCACCGGCTGTGGGGCGGCTGGAGGGCTGCTTCCCTAGCCCCGCGCCGCTCCATGCATGCAGATGCGCCCAGTGCCCCACGCAGCCCGCAGCGGGCTCAGAACGCGCTTCTCAAGGGGGTATGGGCCAGGGATTGGGGGGGGGGCCCGGCTCCCGGAGTCCACACCCGCCCACTCGCGCACGTGCCGAGACCGCAGACCACGTGACCGGCCTCCCTCCGCCGCCCCACTCAAGCACTGTCCCGGGCTTGCACCTACACCCACCCCTGCCCCAGCAGCCTTGCGCCCCCTGGGGAGCCTTCCCCCTCCCCTCTGGGGTCTCTGCCCTGTTAGGGTCAGGGGCACACCACCCCCTTCCTCTCCGCCGAGGAAACCAGGGCCGAGCCTGGGCCGAGTGGAAAAGAGGGGAAGGGACAACAGCGGGACCGTGGGGGGTTCAGAGTTTGGCCCCTTCTACGCCCCCCGCGCCCCGCCGCAGGCCTGGGGTTTAAATCCGAGCCGCTCCGGCCCCTGGCTACCGGGTTCCTAGCAACGAGCCCGGCGGGGGGTCACGGGCAGCCGTCCCTGCGTGCGGTTTCTGCCGCTTCACCCCCACCGCGGCCCCCATCCCGCTGCAAAAGACCCGGGAACCTCCCCCTCCTCCGTCACGGGCGGGGGCACGCGGCAGGTGAAGGTGAAAGCTGAGCCAGAGCATCTCTCGGTGGAGAAGTGTGTGTGTGTGTGTGTGTCTGGGTGTGATGGGTGTGTGGTGTGTGTGTGTCTGGGTGTGATGGGTGTGTGGTGTGTGTGTGTCTGGGTGTGATGGGTGTGTGGTGTGTGTGTCTGGGTGTGATGGGTGTGTGGTGTGTGTGTGTGTGTCTGGGTGTGATGGGTGTGTGTGTGTGTGTGTGTGTGTGCGCGCACGTGGGTGCAAGGGGAGTTGTCTGTCTGCTCGCGGGGCCGTCTGTCTCGGGATTTCTTCCCTTAGCACCCCAACCGCCCTCACCCCCCCCAACCCCATTCCCGCAGCATCAGCGCCTGGGACCGTGGGAGCTGTCAGTCTGTCTCGGGGCGGGGGGGGGGGTCCCACTCCGGAAAGAAGCCGAGCCGGCACCGCCCCCCACCCCCAGCCCCCTCCTGCAACCATACCTGCAGCCTCCAGTCCCCGAGCTACCCCGGGAGGAGGCTGAGACTGGCGGGCACGGAAGCCAGGTACTCCCTGGGCACTGCGGGCGCTTCGGGCTGTAGCCTCCTGGAGGAGAGCGGAGGAAAGAAGGCAGATCGCAGACCGGGCTTGGGCCAGGATTGGCTGGGGGCGGGGGGGGGGGGGAAAAGACAGCCCGAGATGACGGGCTGGGGGCGGAGGAGGGGTCCGGGAGAGGGGGCTCCGCTTGGGTGGCCTCCTAGAAACTACACACATGCTTGCGGCTTAACGGATCACAGACCAGGAAAGAACTTCAAAGATCGTTGCACCTCCTGGGAGGGCTAGCGATTTGCCCAAGGTCAAACAGGTTGAAGTGCCGAGGCAGCACTTGAACCGGCATCTCCGATTCTCTTAGTGCGAGTTTCCACTGTAACATGGTTGACTTGCCCATCAACGCACAATGAGTGAATCTCTGAGGCAGTATTTGAACCCAGTTCTCTTCCCTCCAAGCTTTTCAAAACTCTGTCATCCTCTGTGCAACTGCTCCCCTAAGCCTTGACCCACACCCTTCATGCTAGCTGCATAGTTTTCTCTATGCATTGTACACACACACATACACACTCACCTACTATAGCACCCAAATGAGAAGGTAAAAATAGGTATAGCAACTCTTTTTGTGGTGGCAAAAAAAAAATTGGAAATTGAGGGGATGCCCATCAATTGGGGAATGGCTGAACAATCTGTGTTATATGAATGTAGTGGAATACTATTGTTCAATAAGAAATGATGAGCAGGCAGACTTCAGAAAAGCCTGGAAAGACTTGTATGGTCTGATGCTGAGTGAAGTGAGCAGAACCAAGAGAACATTGTATACAGTAACAGCTACCTTGTGTGATCAACTATGAATGACTCAGCTCTTCTCAGCAATACAGTGATCCAAGACAATTACAGAGGACCCATGATGGAAAATGCTATTGACATCCAGGGAAAAAACTGATGGACTCTGAATGCAGATGGAAGCATACATACTATTTTCACTTTTTTCCCCCTGTTTTTGTTTTTGTTTTTTTTGGTCTGTTTCTTCTTTCACAACTATGACTAATATGGAAATATGTTTTACATGATTGCACATATATAATCCAAATCAAATTGCTTACTATTTTAAGAAAAAGGGAGGGGAGGGAGGGAGATAAATTTGGAACTCAAAATCTTGTAAAAATGAACACTAAAAATTGTCTTTACATAAAATTGGAAAAAATAAAATACTATTTTAAATTTTTTTAATTTTTTATTAATTTATTTTGATTTATCAACAATCACTTCCATATGCTTTTGAGTTTAAAATTTTTCTCCCGTTCTTCCCCACCACCCTCCACAAGACGGGACACAGTCTGATATAGGCTATACATATACATTCCTATTAAACATATTTTCACATTAGTGATGTTGTAAGTAAAAATTAGCACCAATAGGAGGAACCACCAGAAAGAGGAAACAAAACTCAACAGAAGAGAAAAAAAAATAACAATTCAACTTCCATAGTTCTTTCTTTGGATGTGGATAGCATTTTCCATCACAAGGCCTCTGGAGATGTTTTTAGATCCTTGTATTGCTGGGAAGGGTTAAGTTTATCAATATTAGTCATTGCACAATGTGGCTGTTATTGTGTATATCATTCTCTTGGTTCTGCTCACTTCACTCAGCATCAGACCATACAAGTCTTTCCAAGTTATTCTGAAGTCAGTCTGTTCATCATTTCTTATAGAACAATAGTATTCCATTACATTCATATACCACAACTTGCTCATCCATTCCCCAATTGATGGACATTCTCTCAATTTCCAATTCTTTGCCACCACAGAAAGAGCTGCTATGAATATTTTTGTACATGTGGGTCCTTTTCTCATTTGTGTGATCTCTTTGGAATATGGCCCTAGAAGTGCTATTGCTGGGTCAAAGGGTATGCACATTTTTATAGCCCTTTGGGCATAGTTCCAGATTGCTCTCCAAAATGGTTGGATCATTTCACAACTCCACCAACAATGCATTAGTGTTCGAATTTTCCCACATCTTCTCCAACATTTATCATTTTCCTGTTTTGTCATGTTGGCCAATCTGTTAGTTGTGATGTGGTACCTCAGAGTGGTTTTGATTTGCATTTCTCTAATCAATAGTGATTTAGAGCATTTTTTCATATGATTATAGATGGCTTTAATTTCTTCATCTGAGAACTGCCTTCATATCCTTTGACCTTTTATCAATTGGGGAATGACTTGTATTCTTATAAATTTGACTTAATTCTCTATGTATTTTAGAAATGAGGCCCTTATCAGAAAGACTGGTTGTAAAAAGTCTTACCCAATTTTCTACCTTGCTTCTAATCTTGGTTGCATTGGCTTTGTTTGTGCAAAAACTTTTCAATCAAATGTAATCAAAGTTATCCATTTTGCTTTTCATAATGCTCTCTACCTCCTGTTTGGTCATGAATTCTTCTGTTCTCCATAGATCTGACAGGTAAACTATTCTTTGCTCTCCCAGTTTGCTTATAGTACCAGCCTTTATATCTAAATCATGAACCCATTTTGACTTTATTTTGGTATATGGTGTGAGATTTTGGTCTATGCCTAGTTTCTGCCATACTCTTTTCCAGTTTTCCCAGCTGTTTTTTTTTTCAAAGAGTGGGTTCTTATCCCAGAAGTTGGGGTCTTTGGGTTTATCAAATAATAGATTACTAAAGTCATTGACTACTGTGTCTTGCATATTTAACCTATTCGTCTGATCGACCACTCTATTTCT